CTCTCTCTGGTCTCTCTCTGGTCTCTCTCTAGTCTCTCTCTAGTCTCTCTCTAGTCTCTCTCTGGTCTCTCTCTGGTCTCTCTCTAGTCTCTCTCTGGTCTCTCTCTGGTCTCTCTCTAGTCTCTCTCTGGTCTCTCTCTGGTCTCTCTCTAGTCTCTCTCTAGTCTCTCTCTAGTCTCTCTCTGGTCTCTCTCTGGTCTCTCTCTAGCCTGGCCTAATAACAAATATCCTGATGGGGCGTCGCAATATTTGCCAGTAGTTCCTGCTGCGAGCGTGGATGGCGCCACCTGCAGATGAAAGCCGAATCCTGTCAGACCTCTGAAGCTAAGCAGGGCCTGTTCTGGTCAGTACTGTGATGGGAGACCTCTGGGAATGGTTGGTGGTGGGAGGGAGCAGCTGTGGCTAGAGCAGTGTCTCACCACTGTGTATGGAGTGAGAGAATGATGGCATTATTATTAACAATGTTGTGTTGTACTGTAGATAAAGATAGATAATATTAGGATTTGACTTTATATTTCTCGTGATGGAATGTTTTGTGTCTGATCTGACAGGGACCAGCAGAGTGTAGTGTGGGGAGGCTGTGATGTCACATGCTGCTGTTGTTTGACCTCTTCCTGCTTTGGTGCAGAGTGAAGCGTCTGTGTCTGAAAAGATTGATTAGACGTTAGAACATAATATGAAATGATTACACAGAGGTCAGAGACGCTGCTCTCACATCTACACTCTTGTTTTTCCTCAGACGTGATTTATGTGAGATAAAGACTCTGCACCGGAGGACAGCGGAGGTCTCTCTCTGGTCTCTCTCTCTGGTCTCTCTCTGGTCTCTCTCATTGGGCTCTCTCTGGTCTCTCTCTGGTCTCTCTCTGGTCTCTCTCTGGTCTCTCTCTGGTCTCTCTTTGGTCTCTCTCTGGTCTCTCCCATTGGGCTCTCTCTGGTCTCTCTCTGGTCTCTCTTTGGTCTCTCTCTGGTCTCTCTCTGGTCTCTCTCATTGGGCTCTCTCTGGTCTCTCTCTGGTCTCTCTCTGGTCTCTCTCTGGTCTCTCTCATTGGTCTCTCTCATTGGGCTCTCTCTGATCTCTCTCTGGTCTCTCTCTGGTCTCTCTCATTGGTCTCTCTCTGGTCTCTCTCTGGTCTCTCTCATTGGGCTCTCTCTAGTCTCTCTCATTGGTCTCTCTCTGGTCTCTCTCTGGTCTCTCTCTGGTCTCTTTCATTGGGCTCTCTCTGGTCTCTCTCTGGTCTCTCTCATTGGTCTCTCTCATTGGGCTCTCTCTGATCTCTCTCTGGTCTCTCTCTGGTCTCTCTCTGGTCTCTCTCATTGGTCTCTCTCATTGGGCTCTCTCTGATCTCTCTCTGGTCTCTCTCTGGTCTCTCGCTGGTCTCTCTCTGGTCTCTCTTTGGTCTCTCTTTGGTCTCTCTCGGGTCTCTCTCTGGTCTCTCTCTGGTCTCTCTTTGGTCTCTCTCTGGTCTCTCTCTGGTCTCTCTCTGGTCTCTCTTTGGTCTCTCTCTGGTCTCTCTCTGGTCTCTCTGGTCTCTCTCTGGTCTCTCTCATTGGGCTCTCTCTGGTCTCTCTCTGGTCTCTCTCTGGTCTCTCTCTGGTCTTTCTTTAGTCTCTCTACAGGTTTGTAGCAGTAGTAGTAGTAGTAGTAGTAATAGTAGTAGTAGTAGTAGTAGCAGCAATAGTAGCAGTAGTAATAGTAGTAGTAGCAGTAGGATCATAACAGACAAAGACACAAACAGAAACTAAAACAGTGTATGAAGTCGTCCCCTCTGTTTCAAAGTATCTGGAGACTACTTCCTCGAGAATTTTCCTATAAATGTCCCAGAAACATGGACAAGAAAAGTCCTCAGTCTTCACACCCTTTAACGCTGAAGTCCACAGTGCGGCTCATACAGCAGAGGGAAGGTGCAAAAAGTGCTCCGGAAAGATAGAGAGAGAGAGAGAGGGAGAGAGAGAGAGGGAGAGAGGGGGAGAGAGACGCAGCGAGAGAGAGAAAACAGAGAGAGAGAGAGAGCAGAGAGAGAGAACATAGAGAGAGCAGAGAGAGAGCAGAGAGAGAGGAGAGAGACATAAAAAATGGCTTTCATTTGTAAATTCTTATTAAAATCTGGTCTGGACCAGTGGGGGAGGGTCCCGGCCCAAAAGTGGCCAAAATGACGTGCGCTGACTTACTGCAATACCACCCCGGGCCGATGGGGGTGGACCCAGAAAATAAATTAGCCAATGCTAACATATAGCATTAGGTGACCTCTCGAAGACACCTTTACAGGATGGTCCAAAAGTCGGCTCTTGGCCCAAAGCTCCGGTCCACATGTGTGTCAATGCTGAGGGGGTGTTTTGGACCAGTCTAGTTTAGTCGCTGTGGACTTTAGAAGTCACTCGTTTAAATGAATGGAGCTCTCGCCGGCTGACGCATGTGCAGATGCGTTTTTTCACATTTTCCAGCCCCCGCGGCCATTTTTGAATCACACCATGAGAGCCCAATTTTTGGCCCATTAGTTAGAACTGCGGAGATAGGCGTGACTTTAATATTTACAGTCTATGGTCTGGATCCTGCAGACTCACTCTCATGTCTCGCCTCGTGGAGATTATACAATTTTTATATTTGCTTCTTTGTTTTGCTGGAGTTTCTAAAAGATGTTATTTTATTTTAGTTTAGAGTGATCGTTCATTTATCTTGTGCTCCTTCTTCCTCCTTCTGCACCTGCTGATGCAACACTGACATTTCACTGACACATTTCCAACATGAGAATCCCTACATAATCAGCGCTACAGGGGTTCTCATCACTTTGAGGAGTAAAGATGATTAGCATTAGCCGTTAGCATTCCATGTTGTTTACCGTCTCCACAGCTGCTCCACAGCCGCTCCACAGCCGCTCATGGGGTGTTATCCAATTCAGTCTTTTTGCGGCTTCTCTGACAGACCTCAGACCCCAGTCCCAGCCGTCACATGACTTATGGATCTCCCAGACTCATGTTGTTGTGGATGAGTGGGTTCCTCGGGGGAGAAACAGGAAGTGGGAAAAGATTTTGTTCCACAGTTTTAAGGAAACTCCCTGGAGAGGGTGGTCGTCTTTTCGAAACGTTTCTGTCTGAAAAAGCTGATCTAAAGACAACACATGTGTAGAGGTTAGTCCCTGTGCTCCTCAGAGTCCCAGGAGGAGGCCAGTCCCTGTGCTCCTCAGAGTCCCAGGAGGAGGCCAGTCCCTGTGCTCCTCAGAGTCCCAGGAGGAGGCCAGTACCTGTGCTCCTCTGAGTCCCAGGAGGAGGCCAGTACCTGTGCTCCTCTGAGTCCCAGGAGGAGGCCAGTCCCTGTGCTCCTCAGAGTCCCAGGAGGAGGCCAGTACCTGTGCTCCTCTGAGTCCCAGCAGGAGTCCAGTCCCTGTGCTCCTCAGAGTCCCAGCAGGAGTCCAGTCCCTGTGCTCCCAGCAGTATTGTATTGATTGTCCTAATGTGGACTTTTTGATTATTTTGACCTGGTTTTGTTTTGTTTTTTCACTGTGTTGCCAGATATGCAGACGAATCCAGCTGGGACCATAACAGCTGAATAGACAAGAGTTTAGTCAACAACAAATCTATAACCAACACCTTTTTCACAAATCCTGGTTATTATCCTTGTTTTGTCGTTAATGATTTGAGAATCATAACACAGACTTTCTGATTGGTGAAACGGTGGAGGGCGGGACATCAAAATAAAAACAATAACAAAATTTAGGGGCTGGAAAAATAATTTAGAAATTCAAATATCTCTGAACTACTGTTATCAGTTAAAGAAGTGTTGGAAACGTGTATGTTTATTAATGCCTTTGGACTGATTAGGGCCCTTTAATGATGAAAGATTAGGGCCCTTTAATGACGACAGATCAGGGCCCTTTAATGATGACAGATTAGGGCCCTTTAATGATGACGGATTAGGGCCCTTTAATGATGACAGATTAGGGCCCTTTAATGAGGACAGATTAGGGCCCTTAAATGATGACAGATTAGGGCCCTTTAATGATGAAAGATTAGGGCCCGTTAATGAGGACAGATTAGGGCCCTTAAATGATGATAGATTAGGGCCCTTTTATGAGGACAGATTAGGGCCCTTAAATGATGACAGATTAGGGCCCTTAAAGGATGAAAGATTAGGGCCCGTTAATGAGGACAGATTAGGGCCCTTAAATGATGACAGATTAGGGCCCTTTAATGATGATAGATTAGGGCCCTTTTATGAGGACAGATTAGGGCCCTTTAATGAGGACAGATTAGGGCCCTTTAATGATGACAGATTAGGGCCCTTTAATGATGACAGATCAGGGCCCTTTAATTAGGACAGATTAGGGCCCTTTAATGATGACAGATTAGGGCCCTTTAATGACGACAGATCAGGGCCCTTTAATGATGACAGATTAGGGCCCTTTAATGATGACAGATCAGGGCCCTTTAATGATGACAGATCAGGGCCCTTTAATGATGACAGATTAGGGCCCATTAATGACGACAGATCAGGGCCCTTTAATGATGACAGATTAGGGCCCTTTAATGATGACAGATTAGGGCCCATTAATGACGACAGATCAGGGCCCTTTAATGATGACAGATTAGGGCCCTTTAATGATGACAGATTAGGGCCCTTTAATGATGACAGATTAGGGCCCATTAATGACGACAGATCAAGGCCCTTTAATTATGACAGATTAGGGCCCTTTAATGATAACAGATTAAGGCCCTTTAATGATAACAGATTAGGGCCCTTTAATTATGACAGATTAGGGCCCTTTAATGATGACAGATTAGGGCCCTTTAATGATGACAGATTAGGGCCCTTTAATGACGACAGATTAGGGCCTTTAATGATGACTTAACATGAGAATCTTATATACTGTTACTTTAAGTGTAATTAAAAACATGCAAAAAGCTGTCTCTATCATGAACAGCTACAGTGAGAAAGCAAAGGTACTGTCCCTGTGTCCCTGTGTCCTCCACACGTTCTCACCTGGTTCTGTGAGTGATGGTCGACCATGAACGCTGATGTTTTATGGTGTTCATTAAGTCTGTTGAGAGTCGGACGTCTGCCTCCAAGACATGACGAGTGGTTTCAGCCTGGAGCCGCCGTCTGCAGCTCTACGTCAGCTCTACATCAGCTCTACATCAGCTCTACATCATCTCTACGTCAGCTCTACGTCAGCTCTACATCAGCTCTACATCATCTCTACGTCAGCTCTACGTCAGCTCTACGTCAGCTCTACATCAGCTCTAAATCAGCTCTACGTCAGCTCTACATCAGCTCTACGTTAGCTCTACATCAGCTCTACGTCAGCTCTACGTCAGCTCTACGTCAGCTCTACGTCAGCTCTACATCAGCTCTACATCAGCTCTACAGCATCTCTAACATCAGCTCTACATCAGCTCTAACATCATCTCTACATCAGCTCTACGTCAGCTCTACGTCAGCTCTACATCAGCTTTACGTCAGCTCTACATCAGCTTTACGTCAGCTCTACATCAGCTCTACGTCAGCTCTACATCAGCTCTAACATCAGCTCTACATCAGCTCTACATCAGCTGTACATCAGCTCTACATCAGCTCTACATCAGCTGTACATCAGCTCTACATCAGCTCTACGTCACCTCTACGTCAGCTATACATCAGCTCTACGTCAGCTCTAACATCAGCTCTAACATCAGCTCTACATCAGCTCTACATCAGCTCTAACATCAGCTCTACATCAGCTCTACATCAGCTCTAACATCAGCTCTAACGTCAGCTCTACATCAGCTCTACATCAGCTCTACATCAGCTCTAACATCAGCTCTACATCAGCTCTACATCAGCTCTAACATCAGCTCTAACGTCATACATCAGCTCTAACGTCAGCTCTAACATCAGCTCTACATCAGTTCTAACATCAGCTCTAACATCAGCTCTAACGTCAGCTCTACATCAGCTCTAACGTCAGCTCTAACATCAGCTCTACGTCAGCTCTACGTCAGCTCTACATCAGCTCTACATCAGCTCTACGTCAGCTCTACGTCAGCTCTACGTCAGCTCTACGTCAGCTCTAACGTCATCTTTAAATTATTCTTACTATCCGCCTCATTCTCTCGTCTGTCTCAACTCCAACACCAAGAGTTCTACATCACAAGTATGAAAACAAAACAGGATTTTCCACGCCTACAAATACTATTATTATTATTATTATTTATTATTACTATTTTCGGACTCTGCTCATGGACTGGTCATTTTCAAACATGTCTGTGATAAGTTTGGGAATGATCTATTTTCACCGATGTCAGAATGTATAAAACTGGGCAAAATGTCCTGTGACCACTCTGATAGCTGTCACTGTTACACATGTCTATGAGACTAGCTGTAGCTTTGCAGTGATATTTTAAAATGGTTGTTACCGTTTGCTGCTAATAATGTCAGGAGTCGCATTTCCACCGCGGGAGTTCTTGGTAAAATGAGGGGGTGGGACATCTACAGGAACCGACCTCTCCCTCGTCTCCACTGCAGAGTAGGACCCTCGGCGACGTCAGGATTTTTGCAAACTTTGTCTGAATTTCAACAGTGCTTTATAGGCCAATGATTTTAACCTCATCATCCGTGCATTTATCATACGTCTTGCTGTTTCCAGTGGTGTCTGCTATGCTAATGCTGCTAGGCTAATGCTGCTATAAGCTAATGCTGCTGGATTTTAAAAATGGCGGTTGTTTTGGTGCTTTCTGCTGGCGTCCAAGCCTGCTCTAGCTTTAGCCAATCAGCGCCCAGGTTAATCACAAGCCCCACCAGGAGCCGTTCAGGGCCGAACAGAGTACCTAGCACAGAGGAGGTACTCTGTTGGTTCCTGTAAAAGCAGTGTAGGACTCAGGCTGTCCAAACTGCTAATCCAAATGTAAACTGCGGGAAGAGATATGAAAATGTGCGCAAGAAATGAACAGAACACACAGAAAGTAGAAAATGCAAGAGATGCAGGTTCACATTGGTTTAGAATAATCACCGGATACAGGCGGATTTCTTACTTTATAAACTACAGCCACGGCTCGTTCACACAGGACTAAGGTCTCAGTATTTGGATTTATTTTGACTTCTTTGTGGTTTCTTTTTTCGGTTTTCCTGTCCTGGGCCCCTGTCTTGATTGTCTGTTGAGGTGTTGTACCTGTCTCTCTGTGTCTATATGTACCTGTGCTCCTCTCCCCTTGTTGCTGGTCCATTGTATTGTCTCTGTCCTTGTCTGTTTTCCTGGTTCCTGAGTTTTGTTTGGATTTGTTTTCACCTTGGATTTTTATGAGCAGTATGTACAAATCTGGCCAAAAGTGGTACTGCAGCCTCTCCCACTCTTCCTGACTCAGGTTGCCAGATATGCAGACGAATCTATGTCCAACACCTTATTCACAAAGATAGAAATTATTCCTTGTTTTGTCATTTTGAGTCCTCTACCTTGCCACCTCATGACAGAATTGGGCTTAAGTTTTGTAGTTCACTGTCTCCTGCAGTGACCTGGGGCTGGTCCTGGAGTCACCTGGGCCCCGGTCCTGCAGTGACCTGGGGCTGGTCCTGGAGTGACCTGGGCCCGGTCCTGGAGTGACCCGGTTCTGGGGTTTCACCAAGCCGCTCTCGGCTGCTGCGTTTGGGGCGACACATTTCCACAGAAGCCGTGGAGTTGCGTCAGATGCAAACCTCTCTCTTCAAAGCCTCGGCTGGATCTCTGCAGCGATAATGATGCAGCGACACGAGACCAGGGCATTATTCTCTGACAGAGGGATCCAGGGTGCTCTGGGGGGATGCTAACTCATGCTAACGGGAGGACGGAGGTTCAGAAGTAACATAAGGAGATAGCAGAGTTTACACAGGCTGTGATGGCTTCTGTCTGCAGCTGTGTCTCTGGCACCTGTCGTGATGTGTTTAGTTTGAAACCTCACATTTACAACAATGTTATTGAGAAACTGAAACTGATTTCTCATGAATCAGAGGCTGTGGCCAGAAAACCTGTTTGTCTTTGTGCTTCTGAATAGAACTTATGGCTCTAAGTTTGGTCTGGTGTTCAAATCAAACAGGACTGAGGCTGTAGATCCAGGACTGAGGCTGTAGATCCAGGACTGAGGCTGTAGACCCAGGACAGAGGCTGTAGATCCAGGACTGAGGCTGTAGATCCAGGACAGAGGCTGTAGATCCAGGACTGATGCTGTAGATCCAGGACTGAGGCTGTAGACCCAGGACTGAGGCTGTAGACCCAGGACTGAGGCTGTAGACCCAGGACTGAGGCTGTAGACCCAGGACTGAGGCTGTAGACCCAGGACTCAGACTCCCTCTAAGACTGTAAATAATTTGTCACATGTGAAGCAGAAGGATCCGAGAGCAGCTGCATCTGTGTCCCTAACTTAATTTTGTTTCATGAATGATACACATTGTTTGTCACGACAGAAAGAGACCACACCGTGCTGTCTTCATCTTAATAGAACGCATTTCAATCTGGAGAGACGAGGAGACAAAATGCATTTGAAGTATTTTATTGAAGGTAGTTTGGCGCCCTAGGCCCCGGTGCGGCGTTCAGTCAGCGAGGCTCCTGCGAGAGTGCGCGCACAATCCCCCGGGACCTAGGCACTGGTGGTGGCATTCGGGCAGCAGGAAGAGGCATGATTGAGGCAGGGTGAGAAAAAGGAGGAGGAGGGGAGGCGGTGGTTTGCAAGGCTTCGAGAAGGCCGTAAAGTGGGAGTTTCTCCGCTTTTAAGCGGCTGGCCTGGCCGGCATAGGTTGGTTGGAAATGGGCGTTTGCTGTGCGATAGGCTGGGGCTGCGAGGCCGGCCTGGAAGGGGTGGCTTTGCTGACGTCTTCCAGAATTGAATTTCCGCGAGGCTGCATTTGTGCCAGAAAGATCCCTGTGAGTCACTATCTGACTGATTGGGCTGAGAGCTGGTTGGCTGAAGGTGGGTGGTCGTCTTTGTGTAACTTTTATGTCTGAAAAAGCTGATGTAAAGAAGTGACAGAGGCTGAAAACACTGCTGTGTGTGTGTGCGTGTGTGTGTGTCTGTGTGTGTCTGTGTGTGTGTGTGTGTTCCTCTGTCCTAGTTCAGCAGAACTCATTCCATTAGTCACGAGACGAGAGGCGTCTGACCTCCTTCATTTCACACCAGATGCCTTTTCAAAACAGGTGAATGAGAATGAACTGATGAACAGAGAGAGAGACCAGAGAGAGAGAGACCAGGGAGAGACCAGAGAGAGACCAGAGAGAGACCAGGGAGAGACCAGAGAGAGCATAGAGTAAGACCAGAGAGAGACCAGAGAGAGAGAGAGACCAGAGGGAGAGATCAGAGAGAGACCAGAGAGAGGCCAGAGAGAGAGACCAGAGAGACCAGAGACAGAGAGACCAGAGAGAGACCAGAGAGAGGCCAGAGAGAGAGACCAGAGAGAGACCAGAGAGAGAGAGACCAGAGAGAGGCCAGAGAGAGAGACCAGAGATAGACCAGAGAGAGAGACCAGAGAGAGAGAGACCAGAGAAAGAGCAAACACAACATTGAGAGGAGAGAGGATCCACTCAAAAATAAACCAGTGGGGAGAAGTGAAAAACTTTGGTGTTGACAAAAGGACATTCAGACATTAGAATAAAATGGGTTAGGGTCTGGTCTCTCTTTGGTCTTTCTTTGGTCTCACTCTAGTCTCCCTAATCTCGCTTCAGTTTCTCTGCTCTCTCTGGTTTCTCTCTCTGGTCTCTCTGGTCTCTCTCTCTGTTCTCTCTCCTTCTGGTCTCTCTCTCTGGTCTCTCTCTGTTCTCTCTCCCTCTGGTCTCTCTCACTGGTTTCTCTCTGTTCTCGCTCTCTCTGATTTCTCTCATAGAAATGTATTGGCCTAAGCCTGAAATACTCAAACACAACAGCACCAAACGAATGCACACTACCTACAGCCATTGTTGTTACCATCACAGACAGAATCCCATTTGTTTCCAGAGAGACTCCCAGATCTGAGACGATCCCAAACTCCCACAATGCACCTCACACCTGTCATCAGTCTCTCCCCACTCTGCTGCTGTTCATTTCTCTCTCTCTCTCGTCTTCTAATTTCTCTCTTCTGCTCTATAAACTGCTCACAGTCAGGCAAACTCACAACAATAACTCAAACTGACTCTAACTGATCCTGGGCCATGAGGAGGGGAGCGAGGACAACGTGGAGATCCAGGGATTCAAGCAGCGGCACTTTTAACATCAATAAATATATGGTCGCTTTTCCTGGTCTCACTTCTGGTCTTCCTGGTCTCTGCCCTATCTGTGGTCTCTCCCTCTGGTCTCTCTCTCTGGTCTCTCTCTGATCTCTCTGGTCTCTCTCTGTCTCTGGTCTCTCTCTCTTGTCTTTCTCTGGTCTCTCTCTCTCGTCTCACTGGTCTCCTTCTCTGGTCTCTCTCTGTGGTCCTCTCCCTCTAGTCTCTCTCGCTGGTCTCTCTCTCTGCTCTCTCTCTCTCTGCTCTCTCTCTCTGTGGTCCTCTCCCTCTAGTCTCTATCTCTCTCTCTCTCTCTCTGGTCTCTCTCTGTGGTCCTCTCCCTC